CGAGATAAGAAAATAGATGAGTAATTTTTTATCTAGATAAGTCTCAACACTGAATTAATAATCTCCCGATATGCATCAACATCACTCGTGATTTTTGTTGAGTTTTACTGTAGAATTTTAAACATTTTTTTTTGTCGTCCTCGTTTACAATATTATTCGGAAAATATATGTTCCGTTACTATACCAAATTAATTATAAAGTGGTTTGAGTAAGATGTACATTACGAGGCTTACAAATTAAATTCGTAATTTATATTTTATCTATTATAAATTCAAGGGACAACCCCTTTTTTGTATATTTGTACATTATACAAATACAACACACAACATTATACTTACAGGTATACGAAATATGAATACAAAATAATATTAAAATAATAGAGTATACAATAATTGTTATAAACAAAAGAAACAATTTGATTAAAAAATTTATATATAAAAAGTTATTTCATAGAAGTGGTCAGTAAGTCGGGCCTGATTGGCCAATTTTATCATGATGCACAAGACAGGCTTGTTGTATGAATAGTTAGCAGCTGTATACACTGGGACATGGAATGGAGATAATTTTTGTAAGTTTTCCCTACAGGGACTTTAAAATTAACCTTTATATCAGCTATAATAGGTCCGGTCATTATATGTAATTTATTATATTAATTTTGCTGAATAAATTATATATTATTTTTATTATAGGTATGAGAAATGAGTAATTATCATGCTATTATTGGTTCATGTTTTTCGCCAGTTTTGGATGTACGTAAGAAAATATTGTTAGTTGCCGCACAAAAGGACATAATATGAAAAAAAAATTATCGGGAAACCTAGAATCCATTTGTTAGATTTATAAAATATGATGTTTAAATATGAAGAATAATTAATACCACATTATTGACCTATTCCAAGTTCTAACTGTAGATAATAGATAATCTCGATAGATTCGAAAAAACAAGAGAATAAAATTACTAACTAAATCCAAATGTTGTCAGAAATCACCAATACAAAATTAATATCGAAGTATTTTGTCTACTGCAAGCCGTGTACAAATACACGAAACATCAATATATTTAGATCGTACCGCCCAGAATCTAAAAGACTTTGTCTACCTAGTACCAAGTACTAAAACGAGTATAAATAAAAATCGAAACACAGATCCTCGTTCAAATATATTACAGGTACCAGCGTATTAGTATTAGTAGCCTAGGTAGCCTACTAATAGTAGGATAAAATAGCCGATACAAAAATGTCACCATCTCACCCCTCACCAAACTCACCGCATCATAATTCACCCGCCACCGATTTTGACCCCACCTCACCCGGCACCGTTTCTGACCCCCGCCACTCACCTCACCACCAGTGTCTTGGCCATCACTCAACCCCTCACGACCGTCTAATCGCGTACGATAGAATTAGTACAATTAATTACGATACAATTAGTCCGTGGGCGCAACATACGTTTCCCCCCTTATCATACATTATTGTTATCAAATGTTATCATATATTATCACGTCATGTTATTAATCATTTATTTGAATTAAAAAACTATAATGCATGCCATATTGGCATATTGTACCAATTAGCCGTGGCTTAAAGTATGTAATCTCCCTGGAGCCTGCAATATTTTTACTTTAAGATCACAACCTCTCGCCGCCGACGTCTTGACAATAGGAGACACCTATGCCTGCCGCCGTCTTTTCCACCCCCCCCCCCCAACATATATTCCAGTGGCGTGCAACCTTTTTTGATCCACGACCCCCAAAATTATTTGTTTTGGTAATGCGACCCCCCTTCCTACCAACATTATGTAAGTGAATAATATCTATTTACTTCATAGTCTTAATGTATACACACATATTATTCATATAAATTAATTGTTAATTTCAATATTTCTTTAATTTAATTAATCCAAAACATGAAAAAAAATACAAAATTAGAGTTACTTATATAGAATCTAAAATTAAAAAACTACTAAAATTATTATAATGATAAACAACATTTTAATATTTTAACGGTGATATACGATTGCGTACGATTGTCCCTTTTAGTAAAACGATTGCGTATGTTTTTACGATTGCGTACGATTTCTCTACTTAGGCCTTAAAAACATTACGATTGCGTACGAAAATGAGTGCAACGTTGCCAACATGTACTATTAAATTAAATTGAATTAAAAATAATAATAATATAATTTAAAAAACCATTTTTATAGTCAACTAAAAACTTAAATTATACAAAATACAAATTATAAGTTATAAATTAAAACCTTGGTATCGATAACCAGTCCCTGATAAAAAAATTTATATATTACCATCTATTTTAAATAGGTCGTATAGTTTTATAACATGGTTCATTTTTTGCATATCTTTAGATGGAATAGCTTTGGATATATTTTTTTGTATAGTGGATATTTTTATATTGGTTTCAGCCTGCATTTCTTTCAATGCCTCAAGCACAAAGTATATTGGTGGATGTGAGCTATAGAATTGTGCGTTAAAAGTTCTGTGGAAACTCTCTGGACCATTTGTTGTTCTGACATTAAAACACGTAAAAATTACGGAATTAATAATTAATCCAAATATTTTAATCCAAATTTTTCTTATAATTTATAAAAATATGATACCTTTTATTTATTGAAGGTTCTTCAGCCCATATATTAGTTGGAAATATACAATTTGGTTGTATATAATTATTTAACACATAGTCCGAAAATTCTAGGCCATCTTCATCCGGACAATCACCTACTAATTCAACAAAACCGTCTTCGACTATTTGATAAGGCAGAAATGGTAGACCAAAAAACATTTTTAACCATTTTCCTAATAAACTTTTATCATCCGAGTATGCTGTCCTCAATTTTTTATTTGCATTTATCTATATAAAAATTGTTACTATGAAAGTATTTTATTTAACCGATGTGAGTTAGTTATTTATTAAATACTTACATAACGCCACCAAGATTGACTTAAATGGAAACGACATCCAATAAGTTGTACATTCGGAAAAACTTCCCTCACAGCTTCGTGTGCTCCTATTTCAAATTCGATGTGTAATTTGCATAAATTTAGTGTTTGAGATGTGTGTTGCAAATATAGTTCTTTAATAAATTTCCACATTTCGATATATGTTTGCTTAAATTTATCTTTCAAAAAAATAAAAATAACTGGTAAATAAAAGCCATTTTTGAAACAATGGACAGTATACATTTTCATAAAAAAATTAGGTGCGAATTGAAATGTGCCATCTGAAAAATATTCTGTGCAAGAACTCATAAAATTCAAATTATCTTCAGTCGTGATACAAATAAACGATTTATTCATCGGAATGTGGATAAATTTTTTATTATTAAATTTAAAAATATCATCGTTTTGCATTTCCCAAATTTTATCTATGGCTTCATCAAAAGATTTTGGATATATAGGAACGTTTTTCCGTCTTGCCATATACATGGCTTTTCGGACAGAAGAAATATCCTTATGTACAATATCTGTACCTACATTTGTCAGTAATTCTTTTCGTATAATTTTACTTGGTCGAGTTGAAATTGAATCGCTGGCTTTTCGTTTGCAATTTTCTCTGAGAACTTGGCGGTCAATATTTTGAGATGTTATTGCTTCATGTTTGTGTTCACCGATTACCTTAATAACTTGAGTTTTTTTGACATCAGTTAAAATACTGGCATAACAACTTTTGTTATAACATATCCATTTTAATAATTCGTCTTTGCGTTTTCTTATAAAACGATATTTATGTGAAGAAACCACAACTAACTCTTTCCCACGTTCTGACATTATAATTTTTAAAGAATTCTCCATAGTTACCGCACTATTACTTACTAATACTAAAACAAAAACCAGTGACTTATCGAATGACAAGTTGGTCGCATACTAATATAACGATGTTATTGTGAGACACGTGCCAGGAAATCCAATATAATAATCGGCTTTTAATCTTATCTCATAGTATTTTATAGATTACCAAAAAGTACCTATTGGCCTGGAAATAATAGTCTCGGTAACGTTTATGAAATTGTATCAAATATAAGCAATCGTTTCCTAAAATAAGTTATATTATAAATGTTCACGATTTTGAACAACGGCAACGTTGCACTAATTATTGGTAGGTAGAATGTACGCAATCGTAATAATGAAAAAGGTCCATACGGAATCGTATCATACGCAATCGTAATGCACCCTTTTTTAAACTATAAAATTACTAATAAATTATTTTAATGAAAAACCTGAGCTTGCATTGTAGATATGATTGATTCTATGTTTGGTTTGATGTTTGACACTACTACTCTTAAATCAGCTTCAACATTTATTGTGGAGCGCGATATTTGTTTTTAATTATTGCAATTGACCAGGGAATAGTAATATAAAACTTTTTCATTTAGTGTAAAACTATTGGCGACCCCCTAATAAAATTTCACGACCTCCAGGTTGTGCACCACTGATATATTCCACCACAACAATCCAGATCTTACCTGGTTGATAAATGTATATGTTTCCTACATATTGTAGAATTGTGTAGATATACTGCACAGTACCTATCCCACAATGACCATCCATATTGAAAGACACTTCCGCTGTATTGACAACAATAGGTACATTTTATCCGTATTCAATTAAATATACTACACACTGCCCCACAATGGCCATTTATATAGGAAGACACTTTAGACATTAAGAAACAATAAGATACATTTCTTGCCATTAGGTATGAATATTATCATTTTGACGTTGTCTGGACATTGGGCAAAGATCGATTAAGCATTTAAGCCGTATCGACATGAAGAGACAATAGGAAACATATTCTTTTTCAATTAAATTTCAATATTCACACACTACCTTGTAAAACCAATATTATTGATAGACACTTTAGTCATATAAGACACATTAGGTAGGTATATTAATCGCTAGAGTCGCCAGGATGTGATACACTTAATGATATTAAAATACCTATTATAGTGAAAAACACAATAACCGATATTAGTACCTTCTGCCGGACGTATCTTAATATAATGTAAATTGTCAATCAATTAAATATCAAATTTGCAGTTCTCCCACTACCCACAAAAATCAATCCCCACCTACTAATATTTGCCTATATATATCCTAAAAGAGTTGTCAGTCGTTCAGTCTTAAATCGTCTTTCGTACATTTATCGTTCACCCCGTCTTAAATCACCGTGCGTTTATTTTTCATATCGATAGGTCTTTACATTTTATTAGTGAATTTTTATTTTTTACTTTTCATTGTATATAAATGTATTAATTGTGTATCTACGTTTACGTAAGGACAATTTGATGAGGCACGAAAAAACTCACGAAGGGATTCGTTTCCCGTGCACTATATGTACATCGACGTTTAGTAACAGATCTCACATGAACAGACATATAAAAACCGTCCATGGTAAGTTTAAATTATATATTTTATGAATTTATTATTATTATTGTTATTATTTTGAATATTTAATTATATACATATATATTTTTTTCAATCTGTTGCACATGCACGATCACGTGACACAGAGTTCGCATCGAATATTTTAGAGTCAGGTCAGCCAGCAGGCCCCTTAAGTCAATCTGTGAATGTAAATTATATTCCGTTCGAAGATTTTAATGACGGGTACGATGAAATATGCCTGGAAGTTCTAGAAAATGCCCAAGATGCTGGGCTATGCGATGCGACAAGTAAGCTTTTTATTATTATCGGCTCTAGATTTATATACATATATATTTTTAAGTAGATTCTTTTATGACTACGGTAGGGAGTAAGCGTTCACAAAAAACGCATTATTTTTAGTTCAATGTTTATTTTACAAACTGTAGCACACCGTCGACCACAACGAGGTGAAATAAAGATCGCTCCGAATATTATAGTGTCAGATCAGCCAGCAGGCCCCTCAAGTCAATCTGTGAATGTAAATATTATTTCGTGCGATGATTTTAACGACGGGTACGATGAAATAGGCTTGGAAATTCAAGAAGATGTCCAAGATGCTGGGCTATGCGATGCGACAAGTAAGATTTTTTATTATTATCGGCGCTAGATTTATGTACATAATATATATTTTTAAGTAGATTTTTATATGACTACGGTAGGGAGAAAGCGAGTACCTACACGTATAAAACACAGCATCCCGTATTAAATCTAAAAAGCCTCGTATGGATATGGTTGATACACTGGGTTTCGCTGAGGTTAAATCCGCACATAGTCGAAAAATCGTATAGTATTATACTATTATACTAAAAATCTGAATAATTTTGAAAATTATATTTCATTTCTCGATAATTTAAAACATGAACTTGTCGGGGGGAACCCCTTTCACTGCCCTCCCCGGTATTAACCAACACGATGACGACGACGAGGAGAATAACCATAACAATAATACTAATATAACAATCCAGATATTCGGGATAATACCACGTAAAATATACGAAATATTAACCACCAAAATGAAAACGAGATGAATACTTTCAACACTGTAGCTGACTCATCCTATATTCCTCTCTCTCTATAAAAAAAATAAACGGGCAACAATCAATCCGCAAAATAATGATCAACATTGATGGTCCATTCTGGCGAGGTACGTGACAGGTTCAAATGAACATCGTGTAGGCGAAAATTATTACCGACATGAGAACAAATTTAATTTCACAGGCTTATCAGTTATCATTCCCAACACCGTGGTACGAAGTTAAAATTTTCAAAAAAAAATAACCCGGCAGTCTCTGTAAATATTTAACTACGGAGTTAAAAAAATATCTCAACCTTCTTCAAAAAATCAGAGCATTTCGACATTATTATATTCACTGCCGGAGAAAAGTCACTACGTCTAAATCTCAAATTGTTCGCGCTTAATCCGCTGGCGAATAATATTACACGGCCATTCAGTATATTTCTGCAAACGATGCTTTGCATCGTTGACGATCAAAGTTTAAAATATAAATTAAGTGGACAGATAGCATTTAAGCAGCATAAATTAATTCGTGGATCTCATAAGCCGATTCTACCCATATCTGATATTGACACATCGTTCGAATTTGATAATTGGCAAATGCTCAACGACACCTATTCACTATTTACGCAGATTTTGAAGCTCTACCGGTGAAAACTAATGAGAACAGGGGGAACATATGACTGTAATACCTAACCACAAATCTATGAGTTATGGGTTTTTAGTTAAAGCGTCCGAAAAAGTCCCGTTAGAGATTATCGAGCAATTTAATATACCAACCGCGCCGGTTATTTATCGCGGCAGTGATTGTCTGGAGGATGTGTCATTATTAATGACACAAACGTATATTATAGTCTTTTATTGTCAAACGCATAAATCGATATGGGGTACATTAAAATTGTCTACTTGCTAATGACCGATGGTCGATGGACAATCCCCACCGAAAAATATTTTGCACCACTAATATTTGCATACAAATGTTTTATTTTTGGAAGCGGATATTCAGTCCCTTCTAATACCGGATTTATTGTTATTTTAAAATCACATTTGTTCCTCGGATGTGTTGAAACCCTGCTTGGCTTGAAAGTGTCCATTTTTTTCCTGGTACTTCAAATCTGCGCATTCTTCTTTATTCCAACCACTTTTGTCATTCATTGCTGCTTCTTTGGTTGTTGCAATTTCAATTAGAATTGAATACGTTACTCCAACTTTTGAGGGATCTTCTTCTAACAGACGATCTTGGATTGGTCCTGAACCCATACCGACAACAAATACGTCCCGGATGACCGTTGTTAGTTCCGAGAAAAACCACATTTTGAAGCAAGATTCTTAACACATACACCCCATTGGCACATAGATTCGTTCTGTCTTTGTTTAGCTTGATAAAAGTTATACCTAGCCACAAAGTAGGACTTAATTGGCTTGAAATACTTGTTTAAACTTATCATAAGAGTATCATACTCAACATCGTTATAGGCGTGCTAGGAACACATAAACTAAAAAGCACCTTATGAATTTCCTCACTGACCGATGACAGTAATATTGCTTTTTTTTAATGTTGTTTTCGATTGAATTTGTCAAAAAAAAATTTGTCAATTTTGATTCGAAAATTGTAATATCCATACCTGTTTCAAATGTTCCTGGTGACCCAATAACTTGATTGAAGTTCATTATAGAATCAGTCTTTGGAGGTGTCATTTTGTATTAGTATGAATACACTTAACACTTGAAACTTCTAAAGCAATAATGATTACGATTAAACTATTGTTATCTTCGTCGCCAATTTGTTGTGTGTTGTTAATATGAATAATGACACAAACGTATATTATTGTCTTTTATTGTCAAACGTATAAATCTGTATGGGCCAATATGGCGTACATTAAAATTGTCTACTTGCTAATGACTGATGGACAATCCCCACCGATCGTAATATACTAATATGATACTTATGATTATTAATTCAGGGCTCATAACTTATAGCTCTAAAAAAGGTTGTTATAAGCGCAATAATATGCTCTGAAAAACATTCATATAAGTGCTTAAATATGCACTAAAAATACTAAAATATGCGAAAAAAAAACATTTGTATAAAAAAAATTATCAAGCTTTTATTATTAAAAAAAAAAATTGAATAATATTATATCGGAATTATTGTGGTAAACGACTTGTGGTACTCATTTATTCTGCGATTGTTCTGTTATAAAAATAATTATAAATTATAATTAATAATGACATATATTTTAAATATTTTTAAACATATAGTTACCTTGAAAGTTACATTGAATAATTAGATGTTTGTACAAGTTTTCAAAGTGAAATGATCTTCGATTGTTACTGAGTAGTCTTGTACATTGAAAACGATCGCTCAATGTCCACTGACGTAATTGGGGCAAACTTAAAGTACACGAGATCATCTGTTGAGAAGTCTTCAGGAAGTCCAGGTTCAAGTGCTGTGTTCATAGTTATACCAGATAATATATTTGAAATATTTTTTAAAATTTTAAGACCGACATTTTTGTGGGTGACGTTATTGAGTTTATTAAAAACAGCTTTTCCAATGGGTCCTTGAAGAGTTTCAAATACTTTTTCAACATTTTCAAATACATTTATAGCTTCAGCTAATGGTAGTCCTTGTTCTTGCAACTTGGTAAAACTGTTAAAATTGTAAAATTGGATTTTATGTAGGCCAAATCTCTTTCAATACCAGCTTTGGAAATATATTTTTTGGCCTCTTTGATGCTAACAGCATCATCGGCGTCTAGTTTTTCGAGAATTGTACGTATGATTTCAATATTTTCACAATAGTAATTCGAGGCGATGATCCACGTACTCCAACGTGTTATAATAGGCTCCGGTGGCAAATTTAAATAAGGAGCTTCATCTTTGAACAGTTGAACACGGTTTGGTGCTTTTCGAAATATTTTTTTAACACTAGAAATAAGTTTGTCGACATTACTAAATTTTCCCCTTACTTCCTCTGCTACTCGGTGGAGTCCATGAGCTGTACACGTAATATGAATCATTTTGGAATAAAATGCTTTCAATGTATTACCAGCTTTTATCATATAGGGAGCGGCGTCGGATGTAAACAATAAAACATCCTCGTGTTGAATACCAATGATTCCAATAGATTTGTCAAATACTCTGCAAATAGTCGAATAATTTGTTTTGTCTAATTGTTCTGAATGAACTAAATATTGTTTACCCGGGTAATCTGCTTCAAGTATACCAACAATTACATTCGCAACAAACCTACCTTCAACGTCGGTAGTTTCGTCAATACTGACCCAAACTTTTTTACCAGACAGTTCAAGTTTAATTTTACTCATTGTTTCGTCAAAAATGTCATCTATGTATCCAAGTCTCAAGTTTGTTTCTGTAGGAACATTATTTCCGGTATAAATTTCCAAAAATGTACGAAAGCTTTGATTTGAAACTTTATTCAGTGGTATATTTGCTGATAACAACGCAAAACACAAGTCTTTACTGAATGAGGACTTTTTGGTAGAGTTGGTAACCAATTGTTTTTTTTTTTTTCACCTTGATTTTCTGCACGTTTAACGGCCTTAATATGTTTTTCGGTTTTTAAATGTTGTGTGATATTAAATTTTTTTTCGTGGTTAATTTTAATATTACAAAACTTACATAGTAATACACTAGCGTCGGTTGCAAATGTATTTTCACCAAATTCGCGAACAATATTTTTAAGACGACTAGAAACAGATTGTTTTTCTTTAGGCATTTTAAAATAAATTATGTATGAACAAAACTACAGAATTAAGATTGTGAATTCACGAAATGAACTAGCATGCATACAATACGAACAATCGGAAACGACTGCAAAATATTACCGAGTATTGAGTAATAATCTGTAAATAATCTGAAAATAATGATATCGGAATATCTAGATAATGATATCGGAATACCTAGAAACTATAAAAATAAAATACTAGTGCATATTATGCTACAATTTCTTTAACGATGGGATTACCAAGCGTCGGGCATACACTCTCTCTAGGTCGCACGTCATCTAAACTCGTATATATATAGTTTTTTTCTTATAATATTATAAGAACAATTAATTGACACGAATTAATTATTAATAAAAATAATTAATATGACTATAATTAATTTTTATTATTAAGAAAAAATGTTTTAAAAGCTACGGAACTGAAAAAAAAAAATATATTATGCAAAATAAATGTTGGAAAATAGAAAAAAAGCAAAATAGCACTTATACTTCGAAATATGCAAAAATATGCAATATAAAATTTCGTATTTAGCTTCTTAGTTATCTGAAACCAATTTATAGCTCACTTTGGTATCTCTAGGACCTCTCAAAAAAAATATGCAAATGCTAGAAGTTATGAGCCCTGAATTTATTATTAATATAAACGTTAAGTATATAATATAAATGCTGAATATGCAACAGGCCAACAGATACCTAATCAAATAAATATTTTAAGAATATAGCTCTTGCCCCTTCTATAATACTGTCATACGGACATACGGCAATACGCGGAAAGACTTTCCAAATAAAGAATAGAGAAAACAATAACTATAGAGATAATAAATATTTATTGTAGGGATCCTATCCGACGGGTATCGTCAAAATATTACTCTTTCGTCGTATCGATAACGATTTACTTTGGAGTAAAAAATTAAGCTAAATATTTTTTGCTAGATTTAGTCGATTTGGATATTGTTTTCCAAATGACTGGTGATAGGATTAATATATATTATATAGTATAATACATATTGTGTGATGTGTAGTATAGAATAATACATTTATAGATTTATAATTTGTCAATATAATTATGTAAAATGTCAATGTGTCTTATGGTAATAAAAAATCGTGAGACCCTTTGACAAGTGCGGGGCCCTGGACATATGTCCCATTTGTCCTCCCCTAGCGCCAGCACTAACTTGTAACTGAATTAGGTTATGACTTATGACGCTAATAGTATTAAAGTTATTGCTAAGCGTGCTATAAAATTCTTCTTTCGGCGGTATACTCGGCGCGTTAAATTTATCCCAATTCCCAGCCATCCGTATACTCGTATGGATACACACCCCTAGAGGACAGGTGACTAATGGCATATCCCGGGCATAAAAATATTTGGCTGTCTCGAAGAATTTAAAAAAATCCCGAGTTAAAAGTTTTTAGCAAGAAACCCCAACTTTGATGCCATAAACCTACACGTGTCAACGAATCGTATATCTAGTAAACGTCCTACTGATATATTTTGAAAAGGAGATACATTTTTCTTCACTATTAGCAATAACTTATTAAAACTTACGTACCTTGTAAGTTGTAATTAACAAATGTTCGACGTAGACTGCAACACGGTGTTTAACCATATATTTAATGTTGTCATTTGGTGTGTAGCAGCTGTATAAGCAGTTGTTTTTGTAACTTTTTTTGACAAAAAAACTGTGAACGTTGTACATAAATACATGTTGTGGTATCAGCATTGCATCCGTGCGGAGTAGGGGCGCATCGCTAGTTATATTATAATATAATATAACTATATAACTATATAACACGAATTCGTGCTATATAACTTACTATCATATTGTGAATATAATATTATTATATATTCACAATATGATTAACCGTATATTATGATATGGGCACGGACTATATAAATATATATACTTTTTTCATATAGTCTGTGGTATAGCTGTAAAGGTGTATACCTGTAACCATGGTAATGTAAACAATACCACGGACTATTCTTCGACTGATATCACTTATCAGTTCTTATAATCGACATGACTCGAACGCAAGGTTTATAGATAATAGATTATATATATATATATATTATATATATATAATATATATATATTATCTATAAACCTTGACTCGAACGCACGTGTTATCTAATTGTAGAACCGCCGTACTTTGGGCGCCGGTTTGGCCGGTACGATTTCGTTTTCCCACGACCGTATACCAGTGCCAGTCCACTAGAGTGCCTACTGCCCACTGGCGACTGGCTCCAGACTGCACTCTCCAGTGGTCAGAACCCGACCGCGACAAGCGACTGTCCAGACCAGACTAGGTTAGGACGGTCTTTTCCATCGGATTTCACGGCAATGGATGTGATGGAGCACGACAGCGACTCTGAGCCCAGCGAAATCATGGAGCACGAGGGATACACGTACGAGAAAAAGTGGACTGGCAACACCTGTGACGGAAACGGCAGCGACTGGATGCTGTGGAAGTGCGTGGAACACGGTTGCGCTGGACAGATTGCCACTGCCGCCGTCCGGACAAAGCGGTGGCGGCGGAAGCGGTTTGCTGTTCAACGGGACGTCGCCAGAAATAGGCTGACCGCATTCGTACCTCGGCGGCCACACAATCACGAGCCTTCGACCGCGCACGGAAACTATACTTCTGTACAGATTGAGAAGGCGACTGCCATAGTCAAACCGAGGTCGACTTCTACAAGCCCCACCGAAGCGTTAGATGCCCCAAGTGAGTGTTCTTTTATTTGTGAAGGCTGTTTATTATTTTTACATTAACTAGTAGATTTGGTCTGAAAGGACTGTACGATCAATTTCCCTCTCCGGATTAAATATTATTGTGTCCATTTGTAATAAATTGTAGAAACTTCTATCAGTGTACATTACCTAGCCATTGTCGGCTGTCGCTTGAGTATGATAATTGTATTGGATTGTGTAATCTATTGTCATTCCACTTTAACTTTCATTAACTTTCAAGTTCAAAAGGTGTTCAGTCTTATTCTGTAGGTATGTGGTACCTAATGATATCCGGTATTGATATTCAAGCATATTATTATTTGAAGGATTGACTATGTAACAAACCCAAATGTCTCCTAAGTAGCTTGAAATAAAATTGTTATTTAAAAATCATATAAATTCAAAACATTTCAATACATGTTATTTTATAAAATATTAATAGAATTTGATGCCTCTAAATTGTTTGCCTAGTCGAATTAATGAATTAGATATGAGGTCCCTAGGTGATCTCAAATTGTAATTATAGCGTGGATATTATACCTACCTAATAATCAATATTAAATTACTTATTATCTTTAAATTATGACAACTTATGAAGAGATTATATTTTGTACTCTGCTGAAAAGCTAACTGAAAACATCTTTTTTAAATTATATTCAAATTGTGTACAACATCCTCAATATCGTTTTAGTCATTGTTGCTTACTTTTACTTACACTGGAATTTCTGTAATATTTTAATAGCTATTTCTTGACTATTTCTGTACTTCGGGTTTGTATATTTACTAGTTATTACTAGGGCTAGGGACTTCATGCCCTTAAAAACCTTAAAATATGCATGCATTTATGCCCTAAACAATCAATAAATATGCATTTAAAAAAATGATATTCTTTTACAAAATTGTTAAGCCAATTACAGGTTTTGGTTTAGGCATTTTTTAAATTATTTTATTATGGGCTCACTCGAAAGAAAAAACACTTCACGAAACCAAAATACGAAGAACACATTACACCAACTGTCAACTATTACTATTCAAGGGATCGTCTGGCCTCTATCTACAACTAGTCATAGTTTTTTTTATTATCATTATCGGCTTATCGCCTATCAGGAATCATCAAGAGTGTGGTCTACCGATAAATAACAATACAGTTATAATGATAGGCAAGAAAATCGCAAACATTAATTTTTTAAATATTTATATCCGGTCCAGGAAATCTATTTAAAATACAATTTTTTTTTATAAAACTAAAAACTTACTCCTCGTATAAATAATATTGTCAAATATGCACTAATAAAATGAAAAATGGTCAAATATGCACTTATAAATGAAATATGGTCAAATATGCAAAATATGCTACTATAAATTTTAAATATAAACTTGTAATGCTATGAAACAAATTTCTATTTTACTTAGCTATGTTTTTAATGATTATTAAAAAAAACATGCAAACTCCTAGAAGTCCCGAGCCTTAGTTATTACTATTGGCAATCGGTGTTATCTTACCTATATTTAAATTATTTTAATGATAATTTTTTTTAATAATCTAGAAAATTAGTCAGGTATCAAGGGTTTGATATTTATAATAAATTTCAGGATACCTAAGACAGTTTCAGATAGACTAATCTTCAATAGTTGTACATATTGTTAATTTTATTTTTACACATTTACACCTTATAGTTTTATACATAATATTTGCAATTTATTTAGAAATTAACTTGTGTGTTGAACTATGTTTCTATTTTCTATAAATAGGTAGGTGTTAGTACATAGGTACATAACCATATTATCTATATTGCACATTTGCCATGTTCATTTATTATTGATGTATATATTTAGATCTCAAAAGTAGGTAAAATGTTAAAAGTTTTTTTTTTTTATTGATGATGAATAAAATGATGAATAATCATGATGAAATTTGATAACAATTTGCACTCGCTAAAAAATTCTAAGACATGTTTCTGTTTAAGGTTGTAAAGAGTTGAAGACAATTGATTTTCATCGGTCAGAAACAGAATCATCACTTTCGACTGCTGATATTGAAAATATTAATTCCAATAATCTTGATAATGTGTCAAAAAGTATGGAAACTGTTGAACCAACTGTGAATACCTTTGATGATAGTAAGCAGAAAAACACTATACTATTATAAAAATGTATCCATAAGATATTTATTTTTCATTAGAAGGGTGTTTATTTACAATTAAAATAAACAAAAACAAATAAATTATAGGTAATTTTACTTAATTTCTGGTTTGGTGGCACTGCAGGGAGCCTTCCTATTATGTTAGTATGTCAAATTATGTATGTCAACACACTTTCTCATTATATTTTGTCTCATATAGATTGTAAATATATTTTTAAATAAAAAAAATTTACTAAATCCTTTGTGAATTGATAATAGGTGCAATCGATTTGTATTGAAATTAGAAGATAATATTAAATTTGAATTATTTCAGGTATGAAAATGTCGAATATTAATGATACAATGGAATTACAAGCAGTCAAGCCTGTTAGTCTTAATGATCGTCAAACAAATTCCGAAAAAAGAAGCTTAAAAGACATAGGTAAGTGGTACAGTTGATGGTACTAATATTTAAAAAAAAAAAGATGTGCAAATTAAATACCGTAAGTTTTGTTATTATACACAGTGTAACAGAAAGATCTGAAAAAAGAATATTAATACTAGTTAAACGTATGACAATAATTATATAGATAAAAAATAATTTAAGAAATGCACTCATCAAGAAATTCCCAAAAACAATTATTACGTTTTAAATTGATTTACTCCAAAAAATATTGGTAGTTTAAAAAATTCTAAAAAATAAATGTTTTTATCATAAAAATTGTTCCTTTAAGATTTAAAAATTGGCTATTTTGAAATTTTCCAAAAAAACTTGGATCAAATTTTTTAATTTTTATTTTCAGTTTGAAGAAATAAAAATGAAAACATTTATTCTATGAATATAGTGAGCGTAAGTGTTTATACATTATAGGTAATAACTAAATGTCTAGGCAGATAGTGAAATTGCGTAAAAATTAAATTCTTTGACTATTTGCTAGACACATAGTAAAATGCCTGATTTGACAATATGTCTTCAATATATCCCACTTTAGAAAACCATAGTATCTATTTGTGTGGAGCTGATATTTATTTTGTTGTAAGCTAATTACCTAGTAGTTGATGCTGTACCGTGAATAATAAAAAAAATAAGTTATTGTGTTAGTCAATGCTTTTTGTTACACCTCATATTGCCTTGATGTTGATATTTTTTTTTATGTTTGTGTTGCTTGATATAATAGTATGTATGTATATGAGCCATAAATAATGCCTGTCTCTTATAGAATATTATAAAAAAAAAACCTTATAAAACTTTTCCAAGAAGCTTACATCACTAGTTCTTAAACAAATCCTGTGTATTCATACTATTTTTTTCGTGTTTATTGAAAATGCTCAATTTTTTTTATGATATCAGCAATTACATATTTTTATTTGTTGATTTATTTGATCAGTGTTTCCTAACCTTTTATGTGGTGACTCAACTCTTTTGCCAGGCATCACATAAAACAAATTCTAGTTGTATTATTTTCTGTAATAGATAGGTACTACTTTACTAGTATTGTTTATGTAATTTAATCTTTTAATCATATTATAACATACTTTTCATCTGTTAAAATAATTTTGCAGCTTACATTTTGGTTAGGATCTATGGGTTGGGAAACACTAGTTCAGATAACTGTACTGGTAGGGGTATGAGTTCCTTTCCTTTATCTTTTTTTTTACTCTAGTGTCTTATTTTTGCTTATGCCGAGAATTTATAATTTCATGTGGTTTGTATTATATTTCTAATTTAGTAAAATATTTTTTTTTTTTTAATAATAATTAAATGTCATATTATGTACATAATTTAAATTTTAGATATAAATCTAAATCAAATAACTTTATAATTTTTTTTAAACTTTTTTTTAGGTAATTCAAGTATGTTCGTTCAAAATACAAATGAAGAAATTCCGTGTCATATATGTGGTACATTTTTTAATGTATTTTATTATAATCAACATATTCAAACCACCCGACACATTAGTGCATGTGAGGAATATTTTAAAGACCGTATTGATTTTGAAAATTATAGAATATTTTCCTGTTCCGTTCGTGATAATACAACAGAGTTTTTAAACTCTATTGAACAATATTTCACTATTTTAGTAAACCACATACTTTTAGAGCACAGTGCACTTGTGGTAGATGTTTTTTTTTTTGCACTTTATCATGAAGATAGCTTAAATGTAGAAAACAAAAATATTGCTGAAGTAAAGCATTTTGATGTATATAATAAAGTAATCTAATTTTTTCATTATATTTTAATATATTTAAGATCTGATTTTATAGTACATTAATATTTTAGGAATTGACCAAAGACACTAATGTATGTGAGCTGTACAAGGATATCGTGAAATCATTTATGTTTCAAAGTAATGCATTAAGTACAGCAGAATCTAGTTGGACTCTGGAAGAAACACTTTATGTCGAAATAGGTATAGCAAAAAAATTGTTTGAAAATGAAGTTGCATCAAAACCACCTGTCGAGATCAATCATAATAATGATATCAGCGACGATCACATTAACACCGGTAATTATGTATAATGTTTCTATAGATAATTTACATAAAACCATGGTAAACTAGCTATAATGAGATTACTAACTTATCAGTTATTTTAAAACAACTATTTTATGAGGATTAAACTGTATTATTTAAACATTTTTTTGGTTGTAAAAGCTATTTTGGAACAGTATATTTATAGTCCACATTAATTTAAATTATTTTACTGGAAGTATTACTGTTGATTTTTGATAGTATTACAATACTCAGACTATTGTTTAGCTTTAGTCTGTGTATTACCTTACCTTCTGTACTAAAAAAACCAACTATAATTTTAAAATATATTTTAGATAATCTTCAAAAGACTGAACCCCTGCAGCTGATTCGGTGTAAACTTTGTAGTATATATGTAGTTCAACAAAATTACAAGCAACATTTAGAGACAACAGCACATCAAATTTCACTTTTTTATTTAAAAAATGAAAAAATACAAATAAAGGGAGTTCAAAGTGATGGCGGTTTTTTAAGCTGTCGAATACTCTCACCAAAATATGTTTCAATTGATGACTTTTTCCAATCAATTGAGTCTGATGTCTTGGAGTTAATTGTTAAAATTATACAATTACAAAATGATGAACCTATCAATGTCAAAATAAAAATGTTTGGACTTTATAATCATACCAATTCTGATAATTTAGGTGATGTTAAATCTTTCGTGATAAAAAACGAGGTAATTGAAAAATAAAAGATATACTTATTTTAGTCTCTAGGAGTAATGTTAACAATTTGTTTTTTTATTATTTATTTTTCAGATTCTATCTGGAGTTACAATTTTGTTACATTGGACTCAAAAAATATTAAATACATTCAAGTCCTACCATCAACAGTATTTAAAATCCATGCCTCAATCCTATTATTTGGCACGTGTTATGTTTTTAGACCTATGTTTTTATGAAATGACTAATATTTAGTAGATTTAACATTGAATGTTATATATAAAGAAGTTATGATTGTTACAATGTATGTAAGAGTTAAACTTTTTATTATTAAATTTATTTTAATGTTTTTAATAGTTTGTATGAACTTGACTGCTAAAATAATAAAATAACTATACCAAGATATTTTGGATTGTATCATTTACTTGTTACTAATATTATTTTCACCCACATAATATTCATGTTTCATATTATCTGATTACAGCGTAAATTTAGTAGTTAATTTTTTTTAAATTGCTTCAATTCCATAGAATTAAAGTAATATGTTCATATATTTCCAAAGGGATCCATTACTGTTCGTAATGGAAGGATAAGTGTCACTTTCCAATATAGAAACAAATTGAACTCTCAAATTTTTATAATTTTAGTCAAACAAACACAATATTTTTATAAATTTTATATTTTAACATCTAAGGTTTGAACATTTTAAAAATTATTTCTCGTAAGTTTTTCTTTTTAAAATATAAATAAAAGTTTAGCGCTATGTGTTACGCTAATTTTTGTTGGACATTAGAAGTATAAATAATATTAAATACAATAATTTAAACTTATACACTATCTAAAATGCAGGAGACTAAATAAGCAAAACAATGTGGATTTTTTCGTTTTCAGAATACAGATAAAGTCCTAAAATGTAGGTACCATGTACTTATACATTTAATTTAATTAATTAGAAGAATATACTTACACTGAATGCGTATCTATTTTTGTCCAACACTTATAAATTATGACAATAGATTCTAATTTTATTTTAGAAAGTTTCAAAAACAAGTAAAAATAATTTAATTTATAAAACTAAAAAAAAATGTTTTGATCTCAGAATAATTTTCTATGAGTAATGGTTTATCATTGAATTCGAATTTAACACATCCCACACAATAAACCTTCTCAATGACGAGGTTATTATTGAGTCCCTATAGCAATTTTTTTAACAGTTGATAAAAACGTGTAAACGTGGTAAAAAATCTTGAAAATATAATACAGAACCCTACATAAGATTTCTTATATTTAAAAGTTAAAAAATATCAAAAATAAGTACCCAGACGCGAATTTTTTTCAACCATTATTTAAGTTCAAATTCCCCCATCAAAACCTTGTATAACGAATATTATTGTCATAGAAGAATGAAGGAAATATAAAAATGGAAAAAGAGAAAAACAAAGTATACAGAAACATACATACATAGATACATTATAAGAGAGTCAAAGAAAGCAAAATAAGAATTGCTGATTGATAAATGCTCTTCAGTAGACGACTGCCTTTCCAAAGGAACGGTCGAAAGGCATACATGATAATAAAAAAACTTTTTAGAAAACATAGAAATAGGTCAACGTTTCTATAAAGCGGTGATGAAAGAATTATAGCTGACGAAGAGGAAAAGCTAAGACGTGGGAAGATTACATAGAAAAGCTATATAGAAACAAACAAGCAGACACTATACAGCTATCCATGGTAGAATCTCGGGAAGATATGCAATACAACACAGGACCAACCATAGACCTATAAACTAATGGACTGCGCTTAGACAGAGAAACGTGGCGTCGATATGGTTAAAGAGAGAAAAGAGACCTTGGGGGAAATACAGTGTGACCAATATTTGAAAAAAAAAACTATTGTGCTAGATTCTAATTTTTTTAAATATTAAAAAATTTTGTTGTGTAAACAAATCCTCACTCCCCCCCACTGGACATTGGACGTACCTAGTACCTACTTGCGTAGTTCAGTAGTTGTGACTTTGTGTTTACATGTGTTTTTTATGCTGTTTTGCTAATTACACGTTTTTTATTTTTTTTTAAATTTAATTTGATATTTTTTCAAATAAAAAATGGTTAAAACTTGTTCAGTGAAAGGATGCAACTCCAAAGCTGGTCAAGGAATTAAGTTTCACGGGTATTTATTTTTTATTGACATTCTAACAATAAAAAACACATTTTGAAAAAAATTCAATTTTTTTTTTAAATTTTTCTATATGTTTAGACTTCCTAAAGGAGATATTTCTAAGGAATGGATTAAATTTCTTGAAAAAAGTAATCCATCATTTAAGCTAACAAAAACTTGTACCCTCTGTGGGCTACATTTTGATTCTGATTTGGACTACGAAATTACAGCTACCAGTGTATATCAAACTAAGCAATTGAAAAAAAATGCTGTCCCAAGTATCTTAAACCCAAGTAAGTAAAAATCATTAAATGTTGATAAAAATGTATTTGCTTGGTAAAACACTTTGAAAATTTAATATAACCTTCCTCATGAGTTGTACATATACCACATAAAAAATATTGAAACTACACAGTCTTCAAGTTTAAACTTAAAATGTTGATAAAATTGCAAATAATTTTGTTAAAAAAGACAATCAATATTTATTTTTATAAATAAGATTTTAAAATTTAATACAAGGTATAAATATGTTATAAGAACTGAATATTAAAAAATATTTAAACATTTTAGCTGCACGTAGATCATTATTTTGTGAGTCAAATACTGCTTCTAATTATAATGCAGAGGAAGAAGTTGTGACATTGTCTTTATTAGATGCATCTGCTGAACCTTTTGAATCATTAAACTGTTCAATGTCAAGTAAGATAAATAATATTATTTTCACTTTTAATATAATACTTAGTACCTATAGTTAAATTATATTTTTAGGTGTAACAGAGACACTAGACACAGTTATAGTTTCAACTGAAGCCACTGAACAAAATACAGTAGAAACAATATCTAGTACAGAAAAGTCATCATCAGATGTATCTGCTAATAAGTAAGTTCTATAATATTCATAGCATATTGTATAATTTGTATTAGTAGTACAAATGTATCAATTCTAGCGCAGTTATCTTTAATTTCTATTTAACATATTGTGTTTAATTTCATATAAAATTAAAATTAAGAAAACAATTTACCACAATTACTATTTTAAACAGAAATTAATGATAATTGTACATGGATTGTTGCCTGTTGGCACATATATACTACTTGTATTCAATTACAATGTATTTAATTTAATAAAAATATATAATTTCTAAATTCAATTTTACAGAAAGAGAAAATGTTTTGTGGGTGATTTTAAACATATTAATGAAATTGATACCCCTAACAGAAGGTTGCAATTTTGGAATGCTTCACATGCAACTGTAGAAAATCAACGAAAACGAATTAAGTTCCTGAATAAAAAAAATTTATTATTGACTAAAAGAGTGAAGACATTAGATGATTTAGTGAAACATCTAAAGGATGAAAAAAAAATGATATCAGATAATTGTTTTACAGTTCTGAAGGTATGTATTATACTATTGATTTAATTAAATAGGCTGTATTTACTAGTGGGTTATAAACATTTAGGAAACATTGTCAAGTAGTCTGCACGAAATGGTGATGAATCAATTACATACATTTTCAGGGAACACAGTGACCCCAGAATTACGATCTTTTGCACTCACATTGCATTTCTATTCACCTGCAGCATACAATTATGTGAGAAAAACATTCAAAAAATGTTTGCCTCATCCAAGCACTATCCGTAAGTGGTATTCCACTATTGATGGGTCTCCAGGAATTACTCAAGAATCGTTGAATGCCATTGCAATAAAAGTAACTGAAATGAAACAAAAAAATTTAAATTTAGTGTGTGGTTTAATTATGGATGAAATGTCTATCAGAGAAGCTGTACATTTTAATGGTAAACACTTACAGGGATACATTAATTATGGACACAAAGTTAATGATTCGGATGCAATGCCAAAAGCTACAGAAGTTCTTGTGTTCTTAATCGTTGCATTAAATTCACATTGGAAAATCCCTGTTGCATACTTCCTAATAAATGGATTAACTGCTGAAGAAAAAGCCAATCTCCTTGAGACGTGTCTAATTAATATTCATGAAACCGGTGCTATTGTAAAAACTCTTACCTTTGACGGAGCTGCTTCTAATATTTCAATGGCCAGACATTTAGGAGCAGATCTACACAATCAAATTTCATCGTTTCTCCATCCAGTGACAAAAGAAGATGTGTGTATATTTTTAGACCCAGCTCATATGCTAAAGCTAGTCAGAAATACGATTGGAGATTGGGAAATATTATATGATGCTGACGGCAACGCTATAGAGTGGAAATATTTTAAAGAATTAGTAAAGTTGCAAGAAGACAACAGGCTGCATTTGGCTACAAAAATTCGGTCTAGACATGTTTTTTATAGCAAAGAAAAAATGAAAGTTTCCTTGGCTGCACAAGTACTAAGCACAAGTGTAGCTGATGCATTGTTATATTGTAAAACAAAACAAATTAAAAATTTTGAAAATTGCAATGCAACAATTACATTTTGTAGAAAAATAAATGATGTGTTTGACTTTCTTAACACTAGAAATTTTTTAAGCAAACTTAAATACAAGAAACCATTATTCTTAGAGCACGAGACTGATATGAATAATTTTATTGATTCATCAATAAATTATTTAAAATCGTTACAAAGCAAAGACCATTTAAACATACTTACATCTCCACGAAAAACAGGTTTTAATGGACTCATTGTGTGTCTTCAAAGTATGAGAAGATTATTTGAAAATGTTATTAAAACTGGACAAATGAGTTTTATCCTTTCATATAAAATTTCTCAGGACCATCTGGAAATGCTGTTTTCTGCAATAAGATCAAGAGGTGGTTTTAATAATAATCCTACAGCAGCACAGTTTGAAGCCACTTACAAAAGATTACTGGTTCATACTGAATTGTCAGTTTCTTCAAATGCAAATTGTGCCCCTCAAGATTCAACCAGTATTTTATTTGTTTCTAGTGGTAAAAAAATAATCAAAGAAAATTTCTTGGATATTTTATGTGTAGAGGAAGAGCAAAGTTTTGCTGATGATAATGAACAAGATGATGCTGTAGACATGGATATGGATACCTATAGACAAGATATAATAGAATACATTTCAGGTTTTGTAGTAAAACAATTAAAAAAAACTATTACTTGTCATATTTGTTGTGATGCTCTTGTAGATCAGACAAAAAAACATGCACTTATTGACATAAAAAATAGAGGAGGACTAATAAAATCATCAACTGACGTCATAACACTTTGTAAGGCAAGTGAACAAGTATTTATTTCCAGAATTAACGAAGTTCCTAAACA